GTAGCGAGATAAAAATTAGAGTTCAAAAGATAGTAAAAAGAAATAAAAAGCATATATTTGAAATCCTTAGCTCACTAGCTCTCCATTGATACCTATATTACTTAGCTATCATGTCAAAGGAAGGAGATCGACCTGAAGGCGATCAAATTCCCTCCCAAACTTCAACTCCAATTAACAACTTAGAAAACGCAGAAAAAGAAAAAAAAAATGAAAAATTAGAAAATAATCAAAAAAAAGAATCAAATGAATCCGTTCAAGACTCCACTCAACCAGAATCGAGTGCACAATCAACGATTGAATCCCAATCTGATCCAAAGCCTTACGAACCGATTGACTATAAAAAATTTTCCAAAAAGTACGCGAATGCAAACTCTAATGCAAACGGAACTCCGAAACCAGATACTATCAATAGTAAAAGTGGTGATTTAAATGCAAACTTCAAGAAACCACCACCAAAAATTCATCCTACCATTTCGCAAAGGTATAAGGAAGCACAAGAGCTTCAACCAATAGCCCCTGATCAGTTCCGTATCACTGACATGGATTCTAATAATATGAAAATGTCTTTTCCAGACTCACATATAACGGAAATTTTCAAATTTCCCATAGTTAATTTTCGAGCTGCTAACAAAAAAGTAGCAGTCGATGAATTTTAGCTGGGAGTTCAGAAAAATTTAAAAAAAAGTCTGCCCGTACCGTAGAAGTCCAGGAAATTTTTGAAAAACACATTCGCGATCCATAAATTTGGCAGATATCGAGTCAATAAAGAAAAACAAGAGTCTGAAAACCACCGAACGCCAAAAACATGAGCTATTTGAACTTCAGACGCTGGGACTCAAGAAATTTGCGCTCTTTTTAGGACCTGAACGTCCCATCAAACGAAAAACTTCACAGGTACGCTACGAAAAACGACACCTCTTCCATTTTGGGACAGTTGCACAAGCAAAAAAAAAGCCTGAAAGTAAATTTCGAACTAACAAAAAACTAATCTGGTAAAAAGCTGTTACGCAAGCTTCTTACCAGTAGACTACCGACAAATTCTTAGAGAATTAAAAAAACCCTGTTTACTATACTATGCCCACTACCCTAAAACTTCAAGCCGCAAAAAAAGTGCTTTATACTGTAGCTATCAGCTTATAAAAAATATATGTTATCATTCAGAGCTTTCTCTATCTACTAAGCTATTTAGTTTCTACTTTGGAATAATTTTTTTGTTTTGATTTTTTAGTTCAAAATAAAAGTTAACCTCGAAAATTTTAATTCTACTTTAAAAAAAAAATAATCAAAAAATCCAAAATTTTTGACATCATAAAATAGCTTGAAAAGTATATGGCTGTAAAGAGAATTCAGTTTGAAGTATTTTAATATAAAAACCGAAACTAGTTGTCTATAAAACTAATGTGTTATGTTGGATCAAAAATCCAATTTTCCGGACTTTAAATTATTTTTTTTTCAATTTTTTTGAAAAGTGTTGATGCAGTGGACGTACCGTACAATTACAAACAGCTCCACCACTATAAGGTCAAGACATTGAACTTTGATTAATCCTACATCCATGAATTATACATAAAAACGCACAAAAGTCATATCAAATGATAGAGAAAATAGTTAGAAATATATAGAGACTAATAAGTATATATGGTATACTATTTAGTTTTAGTTTGACGCGTAAAGATTCTATCCACTAGCTTTTAGTATAGAACTTACTTGTTGTATGATGTTTAAGTCAATTCTCGGGCTAAAAAGGTCAGAGTACCTGGAGATGATAGCTAAGAGCTGATGGTATATATATTTACCACTCATGTGTTTTATTAAAGCTTGTATGTTTTGTTATCTATGATGTTGTTTTGTTTATGCATTGTTGACGCGTCGTGATTAAGAATTGTAAAAGTAAACAACATCGGCCAATGGGGTGATCACGGCCATGTTTTTCAACATTCTCAAGCAGAATAATATAAAAGGGATGAATCGCCCACTTTTCTTCCTTTCTTCTTTTATATCTTTTCTTAAATGTTTTAACTATCATTTACTAACTAAACTACAGGATAACTGGTGATTAATAGAGCTACAAAGCTTTTATATAGTGAGTTAAATCAATAGCATTGATAGATAGTCTTATTCAGATACTAACATTTTTCATAGCCATTTCAAGCTGCTTAGGGGCTCATCAAATGGTAGGTATTCAATTTGGGCCCTTCAAGTGGTTATAATTTATAAGTTGAAGCTGATATGTGGTTATTATTGATTGGTTAATTTTTGAACAATTGTGGGTATATTAAACTAAGCTGAATGTCTGATTGTAAATGTGATGCTAACAATACAATAGATGGTACAAAAATGGTATGGCTGATATTGAGTTTTGTCTTTCAATTGAATATTTTTCAAAGGTAGTTAATGGTGAGTTATTTGTGGACATTGCTTTCATTTCAGTGCTTTTTATGAACGTTTTGAATGTGAGTTGATTTTATTTTGTTTTATTTATTTGATGAATTTTGATACTAACAATATAATTAGATGAATATGTGGTTATTGGAGTTATTGTGTGCTTTGAAGTTCATTATTAGCTAGATCTGCTGCTTTTGGTTTTTGGACCGTTATTATTTGCTGTTGAGTCCAAGAAATTGCCATACCATTGTATAGTATATAGTCATTAGTTAGATCCAATTTGATCACAATATTGTGTATCAATTTCAACCCATTTAATACAAGATTTTAAATTTAGTTTTATTTCAAAAATTTCGTATATTTTCGTGTCGTTTTAATTTTGCATTTCGTTTTTCATTTTTGCAATTTTGATTTTTGTCGTTTTTAATTTTGCGCAACGACACTGCTTAGTCATCAGATCAGTTTTTTTTCAGACCTCCCAGCCAGGCCCAAAAAAAAATCTGGAAAGTTTTCGTAAGCATTGACTAATCAAAAAAATTCAAAAATTTCCGTTATATGTGACTTTATCAAAAGTTATAAAGAAATGAAAAAAGAAGCTACTGCAGCTATTTTAGCAGAATATCCAGCATTAGAAAAAGGTAGACAAGACGTCTTGAAGCTGAAGACTTTTCAACCAGATGTTTATGAAGCATGGTTATTATTAGAAGGTTTAAAATTTACCTCCATTTATATGAATCCAAATGTCCCAGGTTTAGTGTATCCTATTAACCATTGTAATAAGTTCTATACAAAAAATCACCAAACAATTATGGATGATATGGTTGAGATAATGGATGCACAGTTAAGCATCACAACCATGACAACTGTTGATGGTACCAGCTTTAAACTTACCAAAGCGTGGTATCCTAATATAACAAAGCCGTTAATGGTTCAGTTGTCATATTCGGCAAAATTTTTCAAAAGTGATCTAGAAGCTTTGACTTCACATCTCCAAGGGTTCAACTACCAGTTAATTGGTTCCACTTTGATTTTAAAGCAAGGTGGTTCAAATTCCAAATCAGATGATAAATTCACACATTGCTTACAAGCTGTTATTGACTGGAAAGAAGCTAATCTTATTGGACCTCCAAATAAGAGTATCTTTGAATCCAGGTTACAATTATTGAATAGGGACATCCTTAAGTGCACCGGTTGTGATAAACTGGGGCACTATAAGGTTAACTGTCCTGAAATATGTGCAACTTGTTCAAGAGCTGGTCACCATCAATCTAATTGTAATGCCTCAGTGGCCACATTGGAAAGAATCAAGATGATTCAATCTCAAAAGTATAAGAAAACAAAAGGGGGAAAAGTTCCATTAACATCATCATCTTCTGCAAAAGCCACTCAATCAAAAGGAACAAAAGATAAAAAATCCAATATGGAAAAGGATGGTTTTAGTCAAACTCCAAAGAAAAAAAGTTCAAGACCAACCTTAACACAAACAAATGTTCCACAAACACCAAAACAGGTTAATAAATTTGCTATGGCTTTTAATCAACCAGAGAATCAACATGAAGTAGCAAGAGGTTCAAATTCAGCACGAGTCTCAAGTGAAAATGACATTGAACAGCCAGCTTCAAAACCATCAAACACTTTAAAAGAAAGTTTTATCAACAAATCTGGTCCAAATCATGAAGATAAGGAAAAACAAAAGTCAAATAGTAATAAAACAGAAGATGTAGCCATGGATTCTGCAATTAATGAGGATTCAACCACCAAAGAAAATGCAATTCCTGCTAATATGGAAAACACCATCACTGCTGAAGAAGCTCCACAAACAAATGAAGGAACAAAAGATGCTCAAGATCTGAATAATTCAGATATAACACAAAATAATCAACTTGATGATCACATATTCAGTGAATATGCTCCAAGATCTTTAATTCAACAAGTTGAAGAAGGTCATATTGAAGATCTAGAAGAAAGTAATACTTTCTCTTTCAAAAAATCCTTCACAATTGTCTCTAAATTAAATGGTGGAAAACCTCCAGTACAAATTCAAAGAGGCCGATCTCCAGAAAGGAATCCTGAGCTGAACAAATCAGCTCCTGAAATGTCACCTAATACAAAAAGAAAAAGAATTTGGGACGCTTTAGACAACGTCAAACCAGAGGATGTCCAAAGAGCTATGAAAAATGCTCCACACTGGATGAGACCAGATCAACCAACTCAACAGGACAAGCCGATAGACCCACTAGGAACAAAAGCTGGTGAATCCCAAGGTGGTTTATTAGGATCTGAAGCTGACACAGAAGAATCCGATTCTGAAGCTGAGAAAGCAAACGACAGTGATATGCAAATAGACGATGAAGGAACTCATCAAGATCCAATCCAACCTAATTTACCAGCAAGAGAAGAAATAGGTAACCCACTAGGAGACGATTCCAATCCCAAACCTGGTGATACACCATCTGAATAATCATTTTTATGAATATTGATTTAAATAATAATGAAAATTGCGATTTATCTCTTCCTAGAGATACTGAACCATTTAATTTAAATAATCAACCAAATCATACATCATCATCATCATCATCATCATCATCAACAACAACATCAAGTCTAGGCTCGGGACCTAGCGAACAGCTAAAGCAAAAAGAGCCGCTCAGATTATCTAGTATCAACATTCAACATCCATCAACATTAAAAAGGTTGGATACCATTTTTGATGACTTGATAAATCAAACTAGAGTCCCAAAACCAAAATATAATCATCATAAATCTCAAATATTGCTCCTCCAAGAGGCCGAGATGCCACAAAACCTTCACCAGCATTTGTTAGATTCAGATAGATTTACCATTATTGGAGATCCACCTAACAGATCTAAAATTCTCGTGAAAAAAAGCAGCAATATACCCATCAGTTATCCAAATTTTATCCAAAAACAGATAACTTCATCAAATTTAAGACTATATCTTTCTGATGTCTATCTCCCTGATCAAGAACTCTTGATCATCAACTATTATGGGCCCCAAGAGATATCCAATCAATTACAACTCCTTCAACAGCTTTCATCTGTACTTGATAATCATCCAAAACATGATAAACAAATGCTCTTAATGGGTGATTTTAATTTTATTGTCAATCCTGAGGATTCTTCAAAAAATAAATTAGATAAAAAAGATGAAGCAATTTATGAAATCTTTGAAAACATGTGCACACAATTTCAGTTCCAAGATATGTTATATATGGCCAAAACCAAGGATATCAATACCCGATATACCAATTATCCAAATAAAACTTCTAACGAAGCATCTTCAAAACCAGAAATGGCTAAACGAAGACTAGATAGGGTATATGGACGATCAGGTATCCACGGATGGCATAATCAGTTCCACTTGCAACATGGTACCAAAAAAGAACCTTTTAGTACGCACAAAAGCATCCAAATAAGCATAACCAATGGCCTATCTTCAACATCAATACCGAGAGGAAGATTTAGAATAAATATGAACTGGGTTAAAGACCCCGAATGGCGTCAATTGATTCAATTCAAATTGTTATATAACCAATACTGCAAATCTCATTTGTCTACCAATTGGAAATATTCTAAATTTATCACTGATCTCACAGCTCACCTCCGTCAAATTCAAAATGTCTACTTTCAGTTTCACAAATCCAAAGATAATCAGTTAGGTACCCATCATACCCAGATTTTAGCTTTTCAACAAAAGCTTATCAATACACCTGTTAATACTCAACAAGAATGGGCTACTTTAAATAAATCATTCAAAATTCAGCAACAAAAAGCTCAAATACCATCACTTAGCGTTGACCAATCAAGTTCTTCTGATCCTGAAACACCAACAATACTTGATGACGATAAAGACAAGCTACCACATCTAGCTCAATTTTGGGAAAACTTATACCAAAAAGCTGAAGATGAACCTCCAGCTGAATCAACAACAAAATATCTCAAAGAAGTATACCCAGTATTCTTTTCACCATCAGAGCACCTGTCATTAGATAAACCATTAACAATAGAAGAGCTCAAAACAGCTTTAGATTCCCTCTCCAAAGATCAGTCCAGTCCTGGACTGGATGGGATCAGTTACCAGTTTATTAGTGAATTTTGGCTAGATGGCTTTGATAACATTTTGAAAGAAGTATCACTCAGTATCCAACAAACAGGAACTATACCTCAAATTATGAAACCAGTTTCTATCACTTTATTGCCTAAAGTTGATGACAACATTATTAATTGTGGGCAACTTAGACCAATATCACTTATGGATGCATCCATTAAAATCATTGCCAACAGTTGGAACACACGTTTGCTGGATATAATGAACCATAAAATAGGTCCAAATCAATATGGATTTTTACCATCACGTACCATGGAATCATCTCTTCATAATTATCAAGAATTGGCTAAAATTTCAAAGCATCAGCCCCAAAAAGACCAAAGACTGGTACCAACACCTTTTGATTTACCAGATTCTCAGTTCAAGGAGCAGTTTGCAGCACTTTTGTCAATTGATTTGATGAAAGCTTTTGATCTGGTCGATCATGGTTTCTTTAGGATATTACTTCACCATATGAAAGCACCAAAATCTCTAATTAACATAATTATGGCATTCTTGACACAACAATTTGGTATTTTGAACATCAATAACCACCATTCAAGACCAATACCTCTTAAGTCTGGTGTGAGGCAAGGTTCACCTATAAGTCCTCTATTGTTTTTGATGATTCTAGAAGTATTTCTTTATCAAGTTAGAAAACAAATGAAAGGTATCACCATTAAGTATAATCATTTAGACACCAAGACAAATTACCAAGCTTTTGCTGATGATGTAACACTTGCTTTAAATGGTTCAGCTGATGCTCATAAGTTTTTGGAAATATTTCAACTCTTTTCTTATCATACCAAATTGAAATTAAATACCTCCAAATCTAGATTGTGGTTCTTGAACAACCATGTTAGCACAACGTTGTATAAACAAGAATATCAGGAGCTTGGTATTGAGGGCATCCATTTTAGTGAAGAAAACCCAACAATTTTAGGTATTGAAGTTCATGGAGTAGATTGGAATACTTTGGTCAAAAGAATAAAAAAATTAATATTATATCCATTGGTGAACCATAAACCAGTTTCATTAAGATGTCAAGGTTATAATGCATATGTGTTGAGTTTGATTTATTTTCGTGATCCTCATACAAATATTCCTCAAAAGCACCTAGACTCCATTGAATCCATGTTGAATAAACAATTTCCACAAATTGGTTGGGATTCATTAACTTCATCAAAGAAAAAAGGAGGATTTGGATTGCAAAATTTGAGTGTCCAACTGTTGGGCCATAGAGCTAAATTCATTTATACAGCATTCCTGGATAACAATAATATAGCTGCAATAAGCTTGAGGGATAAGCTCCAACATTATGCTAATATTTTATCAAAAGTTTTCAACCTTCATCCAGCCCAGCGTATAACGAAAAAAGTGGGTAATAAAACAATTGAATCTCCAGTTCATAACTTAGCTCCACCAGCTGCTTATCAATTAGGCATGGTTCATAGTTTTCCTTGGTATCATCTTCTTGATGGAACTTTTTGCAATTTTTATAATAAACTGGAAGAATCATCAATTATGAAAAGAAAGTTATCCCCTAAAAATCAAAACAAGGGATCTCAAATGTCAACAAAAATTGGTCCGGTCACTCCAGAAAAATTATTATTTGAAGTCATTCCAAAAAATTTCCACATTGAAAAACCAACTGCTATACCTGAGACAAGATTAAGAAAAAGCATCAAACTCACTGAACATCTAACTGCTAAAGAGATTGCTGCTTTCAAAGCATGGTTCCAAGTGATCACTCCTGATCCAGAAAATTTCCAGCTTGAATTTTTTGCTCTAAAAAAAGAAACAATTGGTCAAAAATATGTCAAAGGTATTCATCATTCCAAAGCTGCTTTGAAAGTACATGTTAAAGATATCCTAGGAGATGAAGTTACAGAGGAAGCATTCAAACTCTTTAATAGAAAAAAGATGGACACATTGGATGCACCAATCAAAATTAAGATTCCTTATGAAACCACATTGAGTCAAAAGCTTGAAGAAGAAGAAGCCAGTAAAGAAATCAAAGATAGCTATACTGAAGAACAATTACAAGCTCCATACCTAGGCTTGGAAGAACTACATGAAGAAGAAAGCACCAAGTTCTGGAGAAAGATCTATAAAGGACAAACACAACGCCAGGGACTCTTAGAAGCTGTCCAAAGACTGAATCAAGGTCATTATCGTCATTTCTTTGGAAGTTATGACAATACAGATGACCAAGAACAGCCCTACAAAAATAAAGAAACCTGCTGCCTA